CCTCTATTCCTTCTTCTTCTCTGTATTTAACAATAATGTACTAAGTAATGACGAAAAAGAAAATCTGAGTAGTAGTGTAACTTAACAAAATTCTTTGGCAAGGTATATTCTGCATAAGCAGCATGTAAACAAAGAAAAATATTTTGCAATTTAATTACTAGCTCATATCTAAATTATTATGAGCATGTTTGGCTAAAAATCTTGAGCACTTTTGTACTATTTGGTGATTTGTATATTCAGTGTACAACAGCTGCTGAGTATTTTATAAAATGAAAGCTACATTTTCTTTAAAATTTAGCTTTATTCTCAATTGAAATGTCTATTATTAGGTGCCAGGAATAAGATTTCTGTGAATACAAAAAGTTGCACTGGGGCATTCATAGCTACTCTTTCCATAAGGGAAGTGATCCCCCTTAAAAAAAGTACTTCTTGGTACATCCTTGATAATCTCTAAATTTGAGAGAAATATTTCAAGGCAAAATTGTTACAGCTTTCCATTAACAGTATACAAACAGACCAAATGCTTCGTTTTCATTCTTAAGTTTCAAAGTTTAGACATCTACCTTAGGTGCCAAAAGAGAAAAACATTTACACAGAGGTTTATGTTCACTCTTGTGAGCAATTCCACAGCCTTCTCACTACAGCAACTTGTATTTAGATCCTGGTTTCAGGATCTTCAAAGTTACATATGAGAAGATGACACCAGCACATGGCTGTTGGAACCAAAAGATGCTCTCCAAAAGACACACCAAGAATGGCTCCTTCCCAATTGTTTGGTTTCAGCCAGAGATAGAAAGATGCACAACTGTGGTAAGAACAAAAAAATTATCTTTTTTGTTATGGTCCTTATTAAATTCCACTACATGAAAAATAATATATAAAAGCCATATTTAATTGAAATTGTGAAATCACACAAATGGTTACCATTATTCATAACTGTGATAATGCTGATATATGTGGCTTGCATTTGACCTTCCCCCAAGACAAACAGAAAATCCTACTATGACTGGTTAAACCATAACTATTTATTACTACGAAGATGGCTAAAAGCAAGTATTTATAACACCAGGAGGTGTTGCTGAGTTATCCACCATTTCCACTTCCCCCAAGCATGTCTCTGCATTTATTGTGCATATTTAAAATGTCTCCTACATTGTTAAGACGACTCTATCCTGCAGAAAAGTCATCAATATCCTGAGGTCAAGACAGGGAATGAAAATTCTTCTTGAAAATCCTCACACAACACCAAAAAGAGGCAGGAAGTTCCCTTCTCCCCAGATTTCAGCAATTCCTCTCCCAGTTCCTCCAGCACTTGTTGGCATGAAGACTGACAGCCTGGATCTGGAACCTATTACCTATGGAAGCATAGGCTCTTAACCACACAGCTGACAGTTGGCTCAGTCAAATTAGTTTAAATGAAGGGTGTTTAAAAAAAAGAAAAACCCAACCACCAAACACCAAAATCCCACAAGTTATGAGTGCATGTCACAATGCAAGTTCTCTGTGCTGGTTATCTTTTCTCTCAGAATGTTAATGCAGGTAAACTGCTTCTAACACTTCAGTTAACTTTCATACTTCTAGCCAAGGGACTTCTGCCTGGCATCTCCTTGAGCTTTGTCAACACGACCACAGTTGTTCCTGAACATGAGTACTCAACACCTTCAAAAGGATGGTAAACAGTGACTCACCTTTTCATGTTAAAGATTCTTTCCTGTTAAGAGAGAGGTGCAAAACACCCCCTAAAAAATTTTGAACCATGTAACACTTGCCTGCCTTTGAGATTGTACAAGCCTTTTAAACACCGAAGTTCAGAACAGGCCAAATTCCGAAATTCAGGAAAGCACTAGAGCACACTTACTCAGTGGTGGGGTTTTACCCTACTGACTACACAACTAGTATAATCCGAATGCAATATCCAGTGAAACTTGAGTGAATGCAGTGAAGGTCATGACATTTAAAAAAAACACCATAAATATGAACCGAACTTGTATCATTAAAATACAAAAAATGGTTTATGCAAACACAGACAAAACTACACTTGAAACAGATCTCATGTTAAGCACTTAGGCTGAATATTATCAGTCCATTTAATGCTCGAAGTTTAGGTCTAAACTGTGTTTGGCTAATGACAGTACACTTCAAACTGTGAGAAACTAGTGATTCTTTAATGCATTTTACATTTAAACCGCTTGTACTTTCTTCCTTGCGAATAAGATTCACTCCGTAAGCCCTAGAAGTCAGCTGTTGCTTTATTTTTGCACTCTGTTTCTACAGCTTGCAGCATTTATACCGTGCTTTGATGTGTCAGTTGTATACGCAATTCACAAGAACTGTGATGATCAACAAGTATTAGTATGCATGTAAGAGGAGACAGAAAGAGTTGCAAACACATGGCCTTCAAATCATTGCAAACAGCACAAGCAAACATCTTAGAGTTGTAGAGACTAATCTAATTTGTCTTTGAAGCCAGTTGTGTGGAAAAAAAATGTTCTAGAAAAAATTGTTTAAGATTAGGAAATGGCACGACAAAAGGTCAAGGAATTTAAAATTTAAAACACAGTTTAGATGCAAGTCAGGTAGACAAGTCATTTCAATCTTGTCATTTGACTTGTCTGTTAATTCACAGAATAGAACTATTCCAAAGCTTTTGGGGAGCAGAACACAAGATTTACAAAGGCAATTAGGGTACCACAACTGAATAAATCAGTGAGCTACAAAAATAGGAAACGGCACTATATCATCACGTGGGACAAATGTGCAACCCCCCCTGAGGCTAACACACATAGATAAGAATAGGATTTGCTTCCTTGAGATAATTATGAACAGTGCAGCCCTGATCTTCTATAAGGTCATTCTGAGTGGCTGCTTAGCAAGACGACACAAGGTGTGTTTGTGAAGGTCATAAGACTTTTTAAAGTTGGTATTTACACAGGATGACAAAGGAGAATCATAATTTGAAGATTACAGAAAAAGGTAGAATTTGTGCACCAAAGACATTTAGCATTTAAGAAAAAAAAAATCAGTTATGTGGAATATACTATTAGGAAAATTAAATGCTCTTTGCAAACTTGCTCAAATGCAGCAGGTTCTCATTTAGCATCTTGTTCTGGCACATTTGCTGAGCAAGCCATCAGGAAGTCTGGATCTAGACAAAGTGGTGCTCAGGATGGCCCATCTTCTATCAAATACACTAAGACAAAAGCTTCCACAATCTCCTGATTAAGGAGGACACTGCCCCAGTCTTGACTGTTTGTCATGCCATGTCCCAGTGGATCCACTGCACTGTCCCATGCTCCCTGGGAGTACATTGGCTAGTGCTGGAATTCATAACAGAACTAAGAGCTCTCAGGAGTCAGGTTCAATGCCTGAAAGAAATCAAACTGAAAATGGATTGTTTTTTAAATTATTTCTTTAAATGTCCATTCTTAGAGAATGCAAAATCTCTTATTTTTTATTCTACTTTCAAAATGTATTGCATGTTGAGTTTCAAATAGTTTTGCTCACAATGCTTTCTCGTAGACAGAGTAATTTCTTCTAGATTTTATTCCCTTCTTGCACCTAAACAGCTTCAAATTTCCACTGACAGCTGTACACAGAACGACAAGTGATATATTGAGTATATTGAGCATGCTCAGGAAACCGAGGCATAAACACCTCCAAGTGCAACAGACATTCTGTAGCCAGTTGAGAGCAAACTTTTCATAACCTTTATATTACTCTGCCATGAACCATGTTAGTGGGAAGGGCATAGGAGATGAATACTATGAACATTCAGAGGTTATATGCTGAAAAAGATTATGGTCAGTTACTAACATTTTTATCAATTACATTTTCTCCAGTAATAAGCTAAATAAGATGCTAGAAAACCCTAGAATTTCCCTCTCTATTAGCAATTTATTTTTTTCTTCATAGATGTCCTACAAAACCCCTAAGATTTTGAAATAAAATAAAAATATACCGTAATAAAGTGATAATTAACTCCCATCTTCCAAATAAACACTTAATTTAGAGACTGAACTCCCAGGGGCAGCTCTTGCTCTTTAGAGGGAAAACAACGACCATGTGTGACATTACTTGCCAGGATGGAAAAAGAACAAGCTTAAAAAGTATGCAAAATCAAAAAAACCCAGCACAGCATTATGCCATGTTTTAAAGCAGCAGCAACCAAATTACAAGGTTTTAATCAAATAACATTCTAATAAAATCAGCCAGTCTGACTGAGGGTAACACTAATAGATGATTTTTTTTTTTTATAAAATCCCCTTTTAAATAAAATCCAGCATTTACTCCTGCAGATATCCCTGCAACCTCTGCTACCTCAGTGCCATAGGTACTTCCTCCAAAAATAGTCATTTCAGGGATGCAGGTACCTTCTCCAATCTCTGTCATCTCAAGGATGCAGGCATCTATCTCCTCCAACCTCCATCACCTCATCTCCTTCAACCTCTGCCACCTCAGGGCTGTGGATACCTCCTCTGGCCTCCATCACCAAAGCTTCAAGCGTGCCATCCCGAAGAGCATATGATGGGAAACCAGTTCTATTTTCAACTCTCCCCTTTACTTTAGTTACTCCACGTAAATGCCGAGCAGCAAAGACACCCTTTGGTAGTGTTTGGCAACAGTATGAAACGGCGGGTGAGGCAGCTGGGGATGGATGCCCTTCCCCGTGGGGCGGGCGGTCCCCACTCCGGGAACGCCGCAGCCGGCAAAAGCGCCGGCGGCTCCGGCCCCGCATCCAGCGCCGGGACACACCGGAACTCCGTTCCCCGCCACAGGCAGAGAGGGGCGGGGAAGGAAGGAAGGAAGGAAGGAAGGAAAGGGTTAATGGGCGCTGGGTGTCCCCGGCGGAGCAGCCCCAGCGCCCGGCCGCGCTAATGAGGCGCTCCCGGGGACCCCGCGGCGGCTTTCAAACCCGGCCCGCTTCAAACGATGCCACCCCGCCACCGAGGGAGGGCGATTAGAATAAATGACCGGAGTAATTAACTCCGATTGGGAACCACCTGACTGGAAAGGGAGGCGAGGAGCCGTGCGGCCGACGGGGCTTGTGGCCGAGAAAGGAAGCTTCTCCTTTACCCCCGTGCTTGTGTGTGCGCGCTAAGAGAGCTCCTCCTTTCAAATAGGTATGTGGTGGGGGCACTAATGAAAAGCAGCTTTCAGCCCAGGGCCTCCCCATTCACTCTGAAAGAAGCAGAGAAAAAAAGCTTCAAAGTAGAACTAATTTACTTCATCCAAGCCGGGCTTTGGGCAGCCCTGCAGTTTGTACTGACACCGAGACAAAATACTGGTGTAAAAAAAAAAAAAAAAAAAAAAAAAAAAAAAAAAAAAAAAAAAAAAAAAAAAAAAAAGGGCTTGTCCCATTTCGGGAGGTTAAACATTTTTAAACCACCTGCAAGTTGTTGATATTTGTTGTTGTTGTTGTTAGCTTTTTTGGTTATTTTATTTTATTTTAATATAGCTATTAAGGCCGCCATCCAGAAATCCAGCCTTTCCATTTCCCCTGCTGCCGAATTTTTCAAAGCCTGAAAGCAGTACCAGTATCTTCCCTCTAGCGGTGGGAACTTCATTTTTTTGTGCTATGGAAAACAGTAACAATTACACATATGTGTTGTTTTTTTTTTCCAAACTAGGACTGGCAACCTCCAGCAGCCCTTAGGCAGGAATCATATGCGCTGTGCCTTGGCTTTCTCTGCCACGCTATTTTTGCCACTTGATTTTACGAAGCAGAGTTACAAAGAGTGAGGGCATTAATACCTGCTGTTTTACAAGCAATCAGCAATTCATTGTACCAGTGCCGTCCTGTACCTGCTGAGTAAACGCTTTAAAAAAGTTCCCCTAACTGCCCGGTAACAACTACAGTATGGTAGCAAAAGCAATTCACCAAATGTTTATACTGAGCCTCTGATTTATTTGACAGCTTTACACCTTCAAGACATGATATAATTAAATGTTTTGACAATGAAACAAAAATTGTATAAATTAGAAAGTCGTTAAAGATGTATAGTACCTAAAATGAAAATGTAGTGCAGCTATAAAATAGGATTTCTAAAATGCTTCTATAAAATAGATAAAATGTATTTAACTTTTTTAAAGAGTGATTTTTCTATCCTTAGACTTTCTGCTACTGTATTAAACTATTATACATCTAAAAAATTCCTAATTTAATCACTCCATGAATGCTGTTCAAGAAGATTAAAAATGCACTTCTATGTTACTTTAAAAAGGCAACCAAATCATAGCTTAAGCAAAAATAGTGGATCCAAAATATGAGGAGACCTTTTAAAGCTTAAAATACCAAGCATTATCTTAATTAATTGTGTCAACTGTTATTTTGCTTGTTTCAAAATATAAATCAACAGCTGCCACGATGTCTTAGGGGACAACTAACACATTGTGATATTAATCCTACCCCTCCCAGGCACTCAGTTCAAACCTCAGACAACACTGTGTCTGTGTGGACCAGTGAGACACAAGCTGGCACTTCCTATCATAGAGAAGAGGGCACCGGGAATGCTGAAAACGGGGTTCAGAAGGTGAAAAACTTGCTACTGATCGTGTCTGTGTTCACAGGGTGGCCCAGGAGAACAGCAGGAATCACCATTCACGTAACAAATGAAAACGAGCATGTTAAAAATCAGATTTTAAAATCGAAACAAATGTCCACAAACTACGGTTGCTCACTCTAATGTCAGTTCATATCTTTAAAATGCAGTTTCATTATCATTTTTGGTAGTATGTGTATAAAACGTGAGCTTATTGCTAGACTTAAAAGCTAATTGTTTAAACAATGTATAATTATATAACCATTATTTAAACATTAAAGCCTTTAAGCAACTATACAAAAACATTTAGAATCAACTTTGTAATGCAGCTGAAGAGCACTGTTGTTCTAAAGGAAACTGTAATCCAGCAAAAGGTAACAATGACCAGTTGTTTATAAAAACCACTGAAATGTTTGGGAACTAGTTCACATTCTCATGCTATGTTTATGTTTCCATTCATCATCCTTCTCCTTGAGAAGATAGCTCAAAAGGAAGAAAGACTGGAGAACAAAATTTTGTTTAAGTTACATATGCAGACATCAGGTAATTTAACAAATCCAGACCAAAAAGGGATGCCTGTGTATAGCTAAAATCATTATTGCATTAAATCATTTTCTCCTCTCTCTCCCTCCCTCTCTGAGGGATCCATCCTTGCAGTGTGGTTTATATTTATTTCGTAGGTTCAGCTTTGCCAGGAACTTCTAACTCACAAGTGAAGAATCAAAATGTAACAGGATTCTGTATCTATAAATGTTACTGCAGTGTTGCCAATCACAGAACAGACACAATCTTTGCTTAAAATGTGTATCTTAATGGTTGACTACTGCTCTCTTCACACTTTTCTTCCATCACATTGTAACAGAATAAAACACAGTATAATAGTATGCCCATAGAAAATAATTTGGCAATGATGCAACATTTTCAGGAAGGGTATAGTGGGCAAATGGAAAACAGTTATTCCTCAAACTGTTCATTAGGAGGAATACGGCTGTGGTGAACTGCATTTCTGAATAGAAATATCCTTTTTTTGCCCCTCTCATAAATTACTAAAGCCACGTATCACATTTCCATTAAGATTTATGTGATTATTGAATGTGGGGCAATTGTCTTCCTTTACACCATTGTAGAAAAAGGTTCAGGAAGGTATCATTTTGTATAATCAAATGTTTGGGTTTCAGTTCCAAATTCAGTTCTGGGTCTGTCCTCCAACTACCATGGGCTTTGAAAGAAATTATTAAGAAAATTGTGAGAATCAAAGTAAAAACACGTAGCATTCCTTGGAAAGAACTTATTCTCTACTTTGTTATTGTTACAGGAAATAACTGGGATAATCGTGAACAGTCATATTTCAAAAATGTTTGTTCTGTGACAACCTGACAAGAGAACCCTTTCCACGTAAGGATTAGACGGGGTATGCTTGCTTACTACCAAACAATCCAAAGTAAGATGAACTTCTTTGACTGGTCTTACTGAGTTACTGCTGTATTTAATTTGGGGAGTGGCACAGAGGATGGCTGAGTGCTTGAGGTTGAGTATAACAACTTTAATGCTGAATATTCCAAATGTTTATTAACTTAATGCTAGAAACCATTTGTTAATCCCTCAACTTACAATGCCCTCAAAGTTCTCTAAATACCTTTTTTTTTTCCCCCGGGATGTAAGTAAATTCAACTGGACATTTTATAATTAAACAAAACATCAAAGAAATGGACATTTATGCAGCCACCCCATGCAGGTGTATTTTTTTTTAAATGAAATGTAATAATAGAGTATGTTCTACTACTTCTCTCAGCATGTGTGCACATATACTAAAATCTATTCAGAAACTTTGTTCTATATTAATATAAATCTTGCCATTGTTATTCCACCTCGAAAATGCTGTAAATTACTTTATAAAACAATTTGGATTTAAGAAAACCTTTTCCTTCCTCCCTCAAAACAAACTCCTATTATAGAAACACAGTCTACTCCAGGGATCAGGTGACAGGGAAATACACACTCTGAAAAATTTCATTTTATTTAGAAATCTTCTAGACAAAGTCAGTATTTGCCACTTGCCCTAATGCATATAATCACCTAGACTGAACTGTGCACTATCCACATTTGACACTACCTACTTTTGACATTATAGATGAAAGCATCAAGGATAATGGACTGGAATTTCCATAAGCCATACTCAGTATTCCCCTTCTCACAAAAACTCAAAATCCAGTTAAATTTGGTATGTGTACATGTACGTAAATGGAGGAGTCTCGAAATTCTGCTTAACTGATCCTGAAAGAGTAGTCAAGGAAAACTTTTGGTGCCTTTGCATAATGACCTTGCCACTGAGACGACAGAATTTGGTAGGCGCATAATTTAATATCCCTCATGCCTTAAATTCTTGTGGATCAGTTATGTTAATCCTAATTTTTATTTTAACAACCCTCCTCTCCAGTTTCCTCACATGCAGGCAAAACAATAAAATGACCAATGCCTTTCCATAGCAAGAAGTGATTTAGAGAAAGGGCTGTCTATATCTACGTTTCATTCTTTTTTATCTAACCTGGTCTGTATTCATCACTGAATTGTGGCAATGGTAATATTATTTTATTCATTAAATATTTTTGGAAAAATTCAACCTCTAAATGGGAACAAACGTATCAAATGACCCCCACCCTAACTTGTAAGGAAATGAAGTATTGTAACCTGCAGCACTGATAAAAACGACATGCCGAGATTCTGCTACCTAAAACCTCCCTCAAATTTTAAAGCATTTAAATAAATCTACCATTCACCTTTTTTTTTTTTTTTAAAAGTAATCATAACTAAATAGCCACTTTGAAAATTAACAGACTTAACTGTGAAAATCTGAGATCCGATATTGTAACATTCACAAGCGCATATATTTCAAAAAGTTCTATCGTAGGGTTTCTTGTAAATTTGTTTTAGCTTGAGCAAGCTCCCCTCCTGCTATTTACACACTAAATATATACAAGATATAGTGTAAAATCTAAAACTTCAATACCTCCTTTAAAATGTACATTCATAAAATCCCTGGGTATATAATCACAAGGACTTCTCATATAACACAGTAAACACCTTAGAAGGCTTTACATATTTATGTCACTCGTGCACTGTACATACACTAAACAAGCCATTTAGTTTTCTTTTTTCCAAAAATGCACCAGGCCACATTATAAAGATTTAGCATAGCACTACAGAAAATAAGGGAAATGTGCCATGATTTATTAGCCAATTAAATGCATAATTACTGATTTATCCTTCAAATTACCTATGAAAAGCCCTATTGTTATGACCTGAAATGAAATTTTTAGCCTATGATTATTGGCAATACTAAAAACTCACAAGAAAAATGTTCAGCTTAGTGTACACACACACACACACACCCCACCCAGATACAGAGCAAGATAAGAACTTTCTACCTGCACAAATCAAAGTGTGTATATGGGAAAAGCCATTATTATCCCAACATAACGACAATTAAAATTGTATGGGTTTG